TAATGATCATTGACAATCATCAACTGGCACACCATCTGCGGAACTGAATCTTTTCTTTTTCATTTTTACTTTCTTTTATTGACTGCATAATGATACAACTTTCAGGAGTAGGGGGTGGGAGCGGCCAATCAAGGGAAACTCAGGCGGTGGTGGTGGGATTCGAATACCCGTCCTCCGGAGTGATAATTTTGTGACGTTCACAACCGGGCCACCACTGCCCCATGTTGGCCACTCGTTGAATGCGTTCAATNACGAGTGAGTGCTTTGTAAGCCGAAAAAATTTCTAATGACTTACAGTTTCCAGTTTGCGATAGGTTTAATTCCGTAAGGAAAAATCGTTAACTGTAACGTTCTTATTCACAAGCTTCCTTCCTATGCTGTTAAACATGTGGATTATTGTCCTGATGGTACAACTCAAACAGCTTCCGGTGACAGGGTACGGGGGTATTCAGTTCCTATTGCATTGCTGCGTATACAAACAGAAAGACTGTCATCATGGCCTCCTCACCAGAGCCAGCACCTTTCCATCGCCGAAGTAGAAATGGCGATTCGGGATTCTTACGCACCACGGTTGATGTGTGACACGAGGCTGTTTGATCACCGGCTCTTATTGTTCGCGATACCTTTGCTGTCACCTGTTTTCCGTGTGATGATGGCACTCCTTCTGTGCACAAATTGAATTTTATTGGGAATCCTAAAGACTTGAGACATGCGGCGCGCACTAGCTGGGCAAGCGTCACGTCCCCTTTTGCAGCTGAACCACTCGATCGATCGTGTGATTGTCAGACAGGCATGGGAGGATCCTATGCTGCTGAAGCGTTGACAGAATCAGTCATGAAGCGACGTGCTGTTCGGGATATTCGGAATGGAGAATGTCCATGCGATGGTGGAATTGTGCCAATGCTTGACTAGTTCAAGATACAGACACTAATTTTGTAACTGGGTCCGAAATAGTCGAACCATTCGAGCAGGTGTTATACTATTGGGCCGCATTGACTAATTTTCCGTGATAAAACTTTCTATTGTGGTTCTACCGTGAGTGATCACAAAGTTGTCGTGTAAACAGGAACAGAGTTACTACTGGACGGCTCGAGCCGCAGAAGGACAACGACAGGCTAATCATTCGAAATAAAAAACGGATGTCTGCGATCATCGCTCACTCTGTGAGTAAAATGTTCATAAGAATCAATATGGAAAACGCGCAGTTGGGAAACAGTAGAGCTCATAAAAAATAAATGAAACGCGACTGATTATGGTTAAACCATGATGCACCAAGCTGGAAAATAATTTATCTTGTCCATTGGTGAATAACTCTGTCCTTTCACTACTGACCATGGTGATTTATCAGTTCCATCACCTGCGAAACTCAGTAGGCACGCAGATTAGGTTGTATGATGTTCAGATATTTCAAATCGGTTTTACTTCCCTGCGTTAACTGGGCCCCTCAGACGTTTGTCCTCATTCCATATTCCCAAGGTTGAGATCATTTACTGCTAAACGGTCTGTTATCACTTGTTTATCGAGATGTCATATACTCATTATTCTGTATTCCTCTCCTGTGATCTTCCTCGGGTTACTTGTAAAGCATTTCATTACTCATCATCATGGATGAGTCACGTTTCGCCTACATTTCACTACAGCCTCTTGTTACCAGATTGTGCACTTTTCATATTGATTCTTGTGAACATTTTATTCACAAAATCTTCGCTGGTTGTACACATCCTTCTAATTCCGAATGATCGGCCGGACATTTCTGTCCCGTAGCTAGGTCGAGTTTTCGAATCGCCCCTGTAAAAATCAACATTTATAAGGATTCTCGTGTTCCGTATTTGATCCATATCCTTACTGACAATGACGAAGTGTCAAATGAGTTGCATGTCAACCTTTTAGGTTGAAAGAGCTCTCAGTCAGCAATCCACTGTGGTAATTATCTGTCAACGCTTAAGCAGCATAAGATTCCTCACTTATCTTCCCATGCTGGTCCGATAATCACATGGTCGATCGGCCGGGTGGTTTAGCTGCAACAGGGGACGTGACGCTTGCCCAGCTAGTGAGAGCCACCCGCCTCCCCTCTTTAGGATTCCCGATGAACCTTGACTTGTGCCATCATTACACGGAAAACATCTGACAACAAAAGTAACACAAAGAACGCGAGACGTTGATCAAACAGCCTCGTGTCAGGTTGAGGGAATCCAAATTGCGCGAATCGCGGGAGGGTCAGAGGGAATTTAATTGTTTCAAGTCACAAGTGAGAGGGCCTGGACAATGTGAAACGATGGGGCCATCGCGCTACACTTTTTTATGAGACAAGTCTAAATCAACACATATCGTCCTTGTCAGGGAGACTAAAAGTAATCGACCAAATTAATCCATAAGATTGGCCACGGAGATAGAGCTTAAAGGTCAACGGGCCTTTCTGGTCCTATTGGTTCATGGAGCAAAATGACGAGTCTATTCAATAACGAATCTGCGGGATTAAGAAGCTATGGAATTTTCAGTTTACGATGTTTAGCGTTTTCGTTCGTTTGGAAGCAACACATATTATTTGCTCAGTTTCAAGATGATTTTACATCCATCAACAATCATTAAAGGATAAAATTATCCGGATAAATGCATCGATGGAAACAGAACCTAACAAACTGGGACTATATATATATATATATATATATATATATATATGCATTTATGGCGCATCACATGTATCTTATAAGACTAGAACTCTGTCACAATATAACAAGGAACAAAACTACAAGTGTTTGATCTTGAATGAAACTGTCATAAACACCACGCACGCGCGGGCCATCACAGAAACCTGGAGCGCGCTTTCCAAATAATGCTGTGTACGTCAGATCGTGGACTGTCATCGTGACTCGGGTNCAATGAAACCCGATAATTGGTGCACAAAATCATTTTGTTCAGGAGCGCCATCTACTCTGAATAGAAGCTCTAAACACAGCGGATATTAAATAGATCAATACAAGGTTAGGTTAAATTCCGGTCATTATATGAAGTATGAAAATTACCTATTATTTTTTGTCCATTGTCGTTATCTCTCCTAATTATTACTTGGATTGTGAAGTTCACACCAGCCACCAGTTAACAGTCAGCACTGCTTTTTTATTAATGCTATTTACAAGAATATAAAAGCAAATGTTCGATCTCTAACACGTACTCTGTGTGCCAGAACCCTCCTCCACTCCATCCCAAACTTTATTGATATAACAGCATTTTCCCGTCGGATTCTATTCATTGTCCATCCTGTTATGGTATCTTTTGACGTTGAGTATCATCATGGACCACAGTATCCATTGGTATCCATTCCCACGTTACTCGTGTCTATTTTAACCATTTCAGGCCGTTTGTTCTCGGATGGAACGTGTCAGTACTACAATGACCCGTTTAGAACTGTTGACCGATCACATGGTACAGGCTATTGCCTCCGATCCACTCGGTCAGGCGACTATCAGGAGTTGTAGAGAGTAAGCACTGTTGCATTCTTTGTGAATGTTCTCACCTTGTTGTTTGTTTGTTTTATGATTTTTCCGACAAGCTGTTAGAGAACCGGACTGACAACTTACTGTTGGGTAGTTTTTTTTCACTGGTTCCATCCATTTGGGGTTTTTGTTCATCACGCAGATTTCTGTCACGATACCAATAAGTGACCCTCTAATGCCGAGTTGAAACGATCGCCGGGGATCGCACATGCGCCGCACTGTGACCACATCTCCGCAATCAGTAAATCCTCGATCTTCAGTCCCAACTCAAGGTTACTTTTGCGCATTTAGTTGTATGAAGTACGAGTTTTTCATTGTGACTAACTATTCTTTAGACTCCATCTTCGGGCACAACTCTCAGTTAATCGAATCAGCCGGACATCCTCCGAGGAAGAACTGGCTTTGGATTTTCCTTTCGTCTAGGCTGATCTGTAGTGCATATCCACAGTCCCATAGAGGATTCGAACTCCGGAACTATCACATGAAAAGCTTACGCGTGCCAACCAGCACGGAGGATGGCAATTGAGAATTCAGTTTTCGTCAATACACCTGTAACCAACAATTTGTTGAATCTGTCTCAGAATAATGCTTGATCCCTTTTGAGAAAATAGTTTGAAGAAAGAATGTCGTTGCAAGCAAGCATAAGAAACACAAACTGAATTATTAGGAAGCATTGTAGAGTTGTTTCAACCTTGGTGTGTCTCATCAACAGTGAGAATCCGTCAAATCATTACTCATGCACTTTCACACTCACTGTTGCTGTCTAACAACTGCTCATATGGATGAAGGAGTAGGAGGAAGACAGGACAGTTGAAAGTAGAGTCGAAGAGAAAATGTAGAATTTACGTAGACTAATATTGCAAAGAAATTGAGACGATGAACGAACACCACTATTTATGGCACCCAGCCATATTTCTCAGTGTCTCTAACCATTGATTATTATGATCCCGAGGTCCCCATCCAGGGAGCCTAACAAGGCCTGGTCAGGGTTTTCATTCCCTCTTGCTTAGTCTCAGTTTGACCAGCCTTGATCTTTTTCTGTTCATCTCCTGCCTCAGTAAACATCGTTCACCGTGGCAACCTATCTGGTAACATGCGTAACACATGTCCCAACCAACGCAATCTATGGAGGTCAAACATTTGCTCCAGTGGGCGACCGCGATTACCTAAAACTCTGCGCCTAACCTCAGCATTGCTCGTCCGGCTGCCCCACCAGATTCGTGAAATGCTGGGTAGACAGCGGTGTTCAAACACCGACAATCTATTTTTATCCTGTTTTCTTAATGGCCACGTTTCTGCGTCGTGTAGCAGAACCGGCCGAACTGCTGCAGCTTACACTCGACCCTTCACAGACAGCCGGATGTCGCGGTGGCGCGACAGATGTTTCAAATTGTCAAATGCAAACCGAGTCGTGGAACCGACCGTGGTTCGAATCTGGAACTGTACTTCATAGCTTTTAAATTCAGATACCTATGTGGGCCGCCTTCACATTAGATTATTGTGTTATACAAACTTATCTTGGACGAGTGCGTGTATATGTGCAACATGATGCAGAGCAACGATAACAGGAACCAGAAAACTTGAATTCGCTGTCCAGCTGTTTCTAGTTTATCATCGCCTCGGGATTTTACCAAAGCCAGAACAAAAGCATACCTCTCACATGCGCACCGGTAGTTGGTCATACTGTTTCATTAAGTCACGACTTTTTAATGACTTTATAAGCTATGAGGTTCTTCCAAAATTAACTGTATCCATTTAGACAGAATGAGGTTTAAGGATTTCTCACAGACAAGCATTTGTCATGGGTGAACATTACAGTGGGAAAAATCTATAAAAAATATCCTCAATTCACCACAGATGACCTTTTTGTTTATTCAATCACAAACAGAAAGCCGATAAGGCGCCAGTGGATGAGAACTAAACTGTTTAAGACTTTTG